CTAGACCTCACTAAAAATGAGGTCAACAGGTCTCTTCCTCATTGGCTGAAAAGATGAGTCTCTCTGAAGTCTGTATCTTCTTCCTGATCATTATTCATACCTTTAACTGGAAGTGGATTCTACTCGTTTATGTCCTCACTGTCTTTATGCTTGAGGTATCTTTACCCAATGTTTCAAAGACGCTCTGCTCAGTAAAATAGATCACTCCCCTAGTTGTCCATTTTGCCTCAACATGTCCAAATCTGTGGCACTTGCCACATTTTCTAGTTATGACAGACTTGTGGATTAGTTTCATTGAATAGTACCCAGGGGAGTTGCTTAGTGTTGTGGTTTCTCCATGTCTGAAGCTAGAGTCTACAACTTTTTGCGGTATTAAATTGGTAGGAACTAACACTGCGTTTGCCGCTTCATCTTCATATCTTCTCGTTCCTCCCTTCGACTTTTCGGATCACAGTCAAAGGTAGCCTCTCATTGAATTTCATCTTCAATGTCAGTAATCAACCACCAAAATTAGCAGATCTCTCGATGTATCTGCTCCCGAGTAGGCTCGGGTATGTATCTCATTAGTGACATTGCTCAGGTTTAAGGTTTGGAGGTGAAAGATGGTGCATGAGATTAATTAAAGATGCATAAATTTTGATTTAGGATTGATGATTTTCAAAATTAACAAAAACAATTCAGAGTTTGGTTTTGAAATGGGTTGTTCAGGGTAGAAAAAATTATGGTGGCGGGTAAAGCAGACGCTAGGAAACCCTAGAATAAAAATAGGGTTTGGCTGACTCTGATACCAAATGATACCGAAGGTAACTCAAACCACAACAGAAACACAAATATTACTTCTGAATTCCAAACATTTTACAAACATGATACGAGAAAAACAAGAAATAGACGACAAACAAACATGACAACACAAATAATAAAAGGCGTCTATAGGGGATGACGAAAACGGAGGTTGTTGGACGGTTGTTGATGGCTGAGAAAAGAGGGTTGTGGCTGTAGGGAGGTGGCATGAAGGATGAGCAGCCAAACAGCAGCTTGGTGTTTGGGGCTGCTAGATAGCAGGAGAAAAACACAACGAAGGCTTTGCGTGTTGTGGCAGCGAAGACGATGGAGGATAAGGCAATGGGGGCGGCTGGAACTGCAGAAAACAGTAGATCCTTGCTTATCTGTGTGGTGGCAGCAACGGTGGAGGATTGAAACAACTGGAATACAACAATCCCTTGTTGTTTTGGATGACGATAGCAAGATAAGGTGATGGGGAGCGATGTGGGAAGCACGAGGAATGTAGAGGAAGGAAAATCACCACTTTGGAAGAAAGATACAGTTAGAGCACCACCTAATCCCTCGGATAGAGCCCTCAAAGGAAAAAACTCTAGGATAAACCTGAATTCATATATCAAAATGATAACGCTAAGCACATCATCCCCTATTTATAAAGAGGCTAAATTTATTTTAAATAATGAATATAAAAAAGGATAATAAAATATTATCAGGTTTTCAAATTTTAAGAAAGTGCTTAAAATAAGGAGAATAAAATATAATCAGAATTTAAGATTATTATGAAATCATTTAAAATAAGAAATGAGAATAAAATATAATCAGAATTTCAGATTTTAGGAAATGATTTGAAATAGAAAAGTGCTTTTAAGGAAAGAAAAGAAAGGGAGGAAAGGAGAGGAAAGGGAAGAGGTAGGAGGAAAAGGAAAGGAAAGAGAAACATGGAAAAACCGCACCACTCCCCCTCCCCCTCTTGAGGACCGACCCTCATAGCCCCGTGTCACCACCACCTTGTTGCCTTCCAGCAGGACTCCTCTCTCGTTGTTGTTCTTCGCGTCAACCTCCTTCCAGTCGCCTCTCCGACCTTCACCGCAGCCGCATGCCTTGCAGGACCACCTAGGCTCCCTCATCGTCGAGCTTGTTGTGTCTTCATTGTTGTGTCGTTTTTGTACTTTTGCTTTGTATGGTTATTTTTACTTTCTTTTGAGTTTTCATTGTATCATCATTTTAATTTAATAATAATATTCGTCGTCTTGCGTCATGATTTGGGTTAACTCCGATATCATGTAGTTTGCTCGTTCCTTTTTAATTAGTTCTTAAATTACTATCATGATATTATTATTTTGGAGTTATTATATGAATTATATTAGAGATGAGCAAAATTGATTAAGGTGACTTAATGGTCAATTTTCTTGTTCTAACACCTATTTTATATTAGTAATAGAGTGCTTTATAGGCTACGTGAATGTTATAGAAACATAAGTCAATTTTGAGTTGTAACTAAGTATATTAGTGTTAGTCTATTAGACTAGAAGGAACTCCACTCCTTAAGCAAAACAAAATAATAATTTTGAGTTCATTTCAAATTTAAATGTCGCTTGAATATAGTTCAAGTGTACTGATAATGCTTATAAAGGTTACACTTTTTCCTCTTAGGAGAAAAACAACGATCTCCTTCCAGTAAAATCAAAGTTGTACACTCTGTTTAATGTCGCTAAAATATGTAGCATGCAGAATTTCAAAAAAATTTAAGATGGTTTGATTATCAATTAGATGGAACAAGATTTTTCAATGGATAGCTTGATAGACAAGAAGAAATTGTGATTTTTATATGTAGAGGCTTTCAAATGAGTTAAATAGATGAGTACTGGTAACTGTGCAAACACGAAGAAGTAGCCTGGAGAAAGTTTGTAAAATAAAATTGTGCGTAATCCGTTTATTTGAATGGATCAATTCACAAATCGGTTTAGCCAAATGAAATGAAATCCAAAATCCAAATAATTGGACCAACTAAAGTCACAAACTGGTTTAGCCAAATGAAATGAAATCCAAAATCCAAATAATTGAACTGACTAAACTTTTGTTAAAATCAAATCAAAATGTAATTTAGTTTAATTGATTCAGCTTTAAGCAAACTGGAATTTAAATATTGAGCCTAAAATTATTAAAGATCAAGGTTCTATTTGAAGAGATTCCCCACACCATCTCTCTTTCTTCCCTCCAACTGACCGTAAGATTACCCAAACAGTGGAGGCATATGCCACATTGATCAGATAATGGATCATCTAGTTCAAGTGAAATTAATTTTCAAGCCTTATATTTCTCAGTTTTCAGTTTGTTTGGTTTAATGAAAGATCAAAACCTATCCAAACATCAAAAATCAAATATTAAAATTTCAAAGTAGAAAACAGAATCATTATTTCAAAACCAAACCAAACTGACCAAATACGAATAATTTGGAATAATTTGGTTTGATTTTTCAGGCTTAGCAATATAATGTTCACCCTTAGTAGTCTTATTTCAAACTTCATGTTCTTTTCATAATTTTAATGAATAATTAAATTCTTATTGGAATTGATAAAAATAGATGCATAATTATCACATTGTATATCACTATCAATAGTGTGATTTTGAGTTTAAAATTTACATAAAGCATTAGACACAAAAATACAAATAAGAGGAGAATGTCATTATGTCACATAAAGTACTCTACCAAAATCAACTCTATGAATAAAAAAGGACATCTAAAAAATAAATAAATAAACTAATCTATTATATAAACTTCTCTATGTAAGCATAGTACAATTAAAATTAAATTTTTCGTTCCATAATATACTTCAAGTAGACAGCAAATCAAAGAAGTTTGAGAAGTAATCAAAATTTTCAATTCAGAGTTTCCTAATTCAGTCAAAACCAAATCCGTATTAGAACTAAATACAAGATCGTGGCATGCATACATATATATACAAGAAAATTAAAAAAATAGGCATAATCACAAAATCTAGGAAATGGAAGGAATCTACTTACCAATGGAGCGCATTCGACTTCTACCTCTGCTCAACCTGCACATTATACAAGACTTTATAAGAAGACAGAAACTTTTGAGAGCTGCAAATAAGCTAGCTGCATAAACAATCTTGATAAACGATGATATTAGGATCTGCTAAAGTTTAATAAAATCACTGGAACTCGCCAAAATATGCATAACTGTGCATGAAAGCACACAAAATCAACTTTCATGATTTTACATAAATTAAGTGATTGAAAATAATAAAAAGTTGAGTTATTCCATTTTATAAAAATCCTATAAATTTCTAGTCTTTTCTTCGTGATGATGCGTCGTAAAAAAAAAAGAAGTGAAGTTCGGACTACAAATTGTCTTTCATAAATTAGGATTCTACCTTATTTAGCATTTAAAAGTTCAAATACGGTATGCAATTTTTTTCTAACTAAGAAAGTTTGTTACAAAATTAATATCGATGCTGTATCAATCAAATAAAATAGAGCTTGAACCAAAAGGGACAAAAGAAAGCTAAGAACTGGTTGAGAATAAATCAACAAGCATTAAGAAAATAAGCTGGAAACGAATTTTCCTAGAAAGACAAACCAAAATTGCTAAACAACCTAAAAGATTGCCATCTTCGTTTGGAGTCATTCCTGAAAGAAACATGACAAATCATATAGATGAGGCAAACAAAAATATATAATAAAACAAAACCTTAGAAAATTAAAAAAAAATAAACAAAGACCTTCAGTGCTGCCTCCATTAAGGCTTTTATCCACCTAGCTGCTTCCTCGGAGCTCCTGGCACCCAACTACCACATATAAGTGAAAAACATCACATTAGAGCCAACAAAATCTACAATGGGGGTATCTGGTAGATGTTTTAAGCCATACCTTAAGCTGATCATTGTGATTAGATGCATTATATAAGCTAAAAATAAAAAGAACCTGAAAGCAGACCAAACATTTTTATCAAAACGTTTGAGAAAGGTTATGAAAGTGAAAGTTATGTCGATTTACAAAATCAAGTTCGATAACTAATCATACATTTTTATTAATGTTCACCCTCCCATTATCGGTCACACGTATACAGGAATCAAGAAGTGCACTTCGAAGAGGATCCTGCAAAACAGTGATACCGCAGTTAACTAACAGCAACGGGAAAAGCAAATATTATTGCTGAAATGCCAACAGGCGATTTCAACCAACACACTAAAAGTGAAAATAATGACACACACGACACGTGATTAGGGTTGGATTGAGGGTGATGGAGGGGGTCGGTGAGGGTTTGGAAGGTGGCGGGATGGTGTGCGAGGTGGTCAGCAAACAGAAAACAGCAAAGTAACGGTTTCCCAAGTTCCAGACAGCACAGCAGATATCGGCATGGCATGGTTGTGTGGGATGATGGAAACAAGAGAGAAGGGTATGGGTGCAGACTCAGAAAGATGGCAAAGGTGAGGAGTGGCTAGAAGAGCTTGAAGAGCAAAAGGCTTACTGCATTCCAGTGAACGGGAGCAAGGGGAAGGGACCACAGCAAGGCAGCAGAGGCAGGAAAGAGCGAAAAAAAGGTGGTCGGGCTGCTGGACTGCAAGAAAGATGACCGAGAATGGCTGTTCAGCAGCTGCAGCAGGGAGGAAGGACAGTGGGTGTGGAGAGAAAGTTGTAGTGGACTGGGGTGCAGTTAAAGAAAATCACCATCTTGGAACGAGATACTGTTGGAGCACCACTCGCCCTTGGATGCAGCCTTAGAAAAGAAGACTTGGAGATGCCAACGGCTTTCCCGATAGAAAAATTACAAAAACTGAAAACCTAAAACAAACATAAATAAGCACTAAATAGCTAGTATTGAATTCTCATATGAATAGGAGGCACCAAACAGATGTGGAAGAGTCGATCGGCCCGTCTAGGTCAAGACTGGTTTGGTACAAACAAAATAAATCGCGGGGAAAGCCGTAGCTACCAATTGTGCCCACATCAAACAGAAGATAAACATGATGGTTTTTTTTTCCTGGCATTTGTTATGCTAATTAAAAAAATTATGTAGCCGGTAAGAAAATCAGTGCATATATAATCAAACAAGCATTTTATGCTAAAGCAACAATGTAGAATGAACAGTCATAATATGAATAATTAACCAAAAACATAGACAAACTGCTGACAAGCTATTACTTTTAGTCTTACAAAACAAAATTGCTCATAAATATGCCTAAACTTTCTAGGAGTCCTCAATATCAGCTTAAACCGCATTGTACTTTCCTACCAAGGGTCTCTTGGATGTGCCTTCGAGTGTTCCTCTCGTCCAAACCTTCCAAGAACCTTTTTTGAGACCGTTCGCAGGTATTTACCTTTGGGGACCATAACTTAAGTGTTTTTCATTAATTATTTTGTATTATTTAAGAATTCTATGCTTGCCCAAGCTCATCCAGTACAGAAAGATGCTAGGAAATGCCATCTTTTAAAATCTCCATACTTTGCTTAACTCGTAATGTAAATCAAATCACTATATCATGATTGTTCTTGTTCGCAACTAGTTTTCATTAGGGACCTTCACCAGTTGTTCCACCATTAATGCCGTAAAGATTATCTGTCTTTCTCACCATAACGTCCTTAAGTAGTCATTATTATTATATATGGCTAGTTAGTGGTCAAGCCACTACAAGGACCCCATCATCAACTCATTACCAAGGTTAAACACACGTGTGTGTATATAGGGGTGTAAATATTTCGAACCAACTGGAGTTACCCTTGGCTTGACTTGAACTTACCTAGTTTATTAAGTTAGAGTTCAAGCTAAAATTTAATTATATAAGTTTGAGTCGACTCCCAAGCCAATTCTTTTATTGATGAAAGAGTAACATAATTTTGATGCAATCATCTACTGTAAGAAAGTAATAAAGTAATAAAAAGAATGAATAATTGAAAAAATTAATAAAAAATCACTTGATATAAGAAATTACAATAAAAATTTTAAAAAATTTAAGCAATTTTGCACTTGAGCTTTTGTATGTTAACATATATTTAGTGCATTATATAGTAACATTTTTTAAACAAGCCGACTCACAAGCTAATGAGTAGAGTTGGGGCTGCACAAGCTTGACTTTTTAGCTCATCAAGCTCAGCTTACAAGTCATTTATTGAGTCAATCTCGGGACGGCTCACAAGAATCGACTTAATTACACACCTACACATATATAAAAATATGAATTTGAACAATCAAACACACTTGGCCTCAACACTCACAAGTTTTCAAATCTCCCCAATGTTCTCTTCAAACTCATTGATTTCTGAATCCATTATTTTTCTTTATTTACTTATTGCCTGTTGAAACATCCCTTTGCAGTTTGTTTCTAGATGTAATTCATCTTTATTGCATTTTCCTCTCTATTCTACAGAAAGTCCGCTCTCAACTTCACTTGGTTTATATTTCCTAGTGGACATAGGACCTCAAACAAAACCAATATGACTTTCTATCTCACTTATTTGTGATATGTTATTTTTGGCTCATCAGAAAATAATTGCAAAGTACTTTTTCAATCCTTTCTCTCATGCAAACTGTAGGATGCATGTGCTCTCTTGGTCCTATCAAGAAGAGAAATCTTCACCATTCATGTTTCATGGATTTTCTTTAAGAAGTCTACTACACCATGGTGAGAAATAGGTCCACGGTAAAGGAAACTGACAACATAGTAGTTGATACCAGAATTAACCCAAACACGATAAGCAAACAAATATTATTAATGGAAAAGCCAAAAGGCAGACACTAAAAGAAGAAATAACAATAACACAACACGCGACTTTAGTAGATCTTGGGTGATGGTGGTTGTGGTCGTTAGGGGGGGCTTAGAGATGTGACGGAAAGGTAAGAAGGAGCTTTTGGGTTGTGGATGAGTGATGGCAGCTATTATGGGAGGTTGGAACAATAGGGAAGCAACGGACGGCGTTCCAAACAATAGCAATTTGTTGTTTGGGGGTCGCAATAGTGAGAGAGAAGAGGGATAGGGGTGGCTACAGCAATGTGGAAGACAAAAAGGCTAGTGGCTGCAAGGTAGAAGGGTTGGAAGGTTGGTAAGTGGCTGGGAAGGGCAGCACAGAGGTATGAAAGCTGCAAGCGATGACAAAGGTGTTGTTCTTTTGGATGACTACAATAGTTATGGCGACGGCGGCGGAAGAAGGGAGTTTACGAAGAATGGGAAACTTGAGCATAAATACCACCTCGGGAGCGAGATACATTCAAAGCACCACTCGACCCTTGGAGCAGAATCACCACGTTATAACGAGAAACAAACGAAACACCACTCACCCTTAGATACAAGCCTGGATAGGAAAACAAGAGACGTGGATGACTGTCCTGACAGAAACACAATCAAAACAGAAAATATAAATCACATTAATCAAATATATAGTAATAAGATGGATAACTAGAAATGAATCCCTCTACTTGAAAGAGGTGGTACTCCCCTAAGAAAAGCATGTTGGTTCTCCGGGATGCTGGACCAGACCGTCCGGATGCGCTTAGGCATGATTCTACAACCCAACACTCGTGATCTAGTGTCATTGCGGGAGACACTCCTACGTCAGTAGTATTCCAAGTGAGCCCAACATCCAACCCAGTTTTCATGTTGATCCTTCTGAGAATAATGTCATTGTTACCCAAAACCAAAATTTGTTGCTTGCATGGAGGGTCTCAAAATGTTCATTTATTTTCTCCCCACTTCATCATCCATACCCACAATAATCCCATCTCTGGACATTCTATAATAGGTTGTCCCCCCAAGGTCTTCAAAGCTACCCAAGGGCATTGCCAACTCATCTTTCTAACTACATAAGTTCGAGAATTTTATTTCTCCTTATATCATAGTGAACGTGTCAACTGACATCTCTTTGGAATTGTATTCAAAGAGGATGCTCGAACCATGTTCAATTCTCTCCTTGCTGCCAGTGTCAGCATTTATGAGGATTTCTCTCATCTATTTTTGTCCTAGTTCTCTACGTATTAAAGGCCACTTAAGAACTCTCAATCTATTTCTGTGTGAACCATTGAAAGTAAAGTTCTTGAAACTGTGCTCCGAGATTTACCCATGCTATCCATGATATCACACACGGTGAATAGTTTGCTAATAAAGCTACATTGTTTTGGATCTGCAACCCATCAATTTTAAATTTGTTGGAACCAAAAAACCTCCGGGCACATGGAGAGATTCAGAAAGCTATCAAATTCATTAGTACTTAAAAATTCATTTCAAATATGGATATGTCTGCCAAATCTCTCTTTGCTTCTCTTGGCAAGAGGTAGCCAATGAAGAAAGCAATGTTGGTCAACCTCACTGAAACCTGAAATTAAGCATCGGAAGGTTGATTTTTCCTGTCATGGGTGTTTCCCCAAGAATGATTGCCAAGAGGACCTAAAAAAGCCATTCTCTGTTGCACCTCCTAAAAAGCTCCAAAAAATTCATTTGCTACCTCTCAATTTGTCTTTAACTGATGTAATGACCACCATCCAAAGTAAAGAATGTTTTCACTGCCCGCTGGGGGAGACGAGTAGCTCCAAACTCTACATTTATTATAATGATCGTGACCATGATTCCAAAGAATACATTCTTTAATGTATTCCTCAAGAAGCTTATCAAGGAAGGCCAACCAAAGGAGTTCTTGGCTCAGCATGGTGAGAACAAACTATCTAAGAATAATCACCTACTTCAACAACCTAAAAGAAAGCTATCCAAATCATACAACGCTCTGCGAGTACATGCCTTTGCCCTCAACATTTATAGACATTTACAAATTTCTTTGATGTTGTTGACAAGGGTTACAGCTATTCTCAAACACTCTAAATCTCTTTGATGTCCTCTCAGAGTTCATTGAAGTACCAATTTGTCATTCTACTTCATTCTTCTCCTTCCAACATGTTGTAACATCCCTCATCAGCAGTTGCTCCATGAATGTAATTTCTATATATTGTATATCCCTCTCTTCTATGGAAGGCTCGTTGCAAGCTTGGTAACATGTTGGTTTTCACTAATACTCAAACTCACTCAGACAAGGCAAATTTCTTCTTGAATGCTGTAAAATTGAGTGTAGATATTCGAATAGAACCATCATAATTCTCTCACTTCTATGTGTTCCATTCTCTCTAAGTTTCCTTGTAGAGAAATTACAATATAGTACTTTCCAATCTTTTCTTGTTAGGTATGGCTCATGTATAGATGCTGGAGCGGAACGGAGTGAGACAGCGGAGTGGAGTGCACGAGCGAGCTCCGCTCTATTGGCTCGCTTCGTTCCGCTCCAACATATGTCCAATCGGGGGGATTTTCATTATGTGGGTTGGGGGCCCCCATGATACGGTACAAGAGTAATTTTATAATTACATATTGTACATCAGGGTTATATATATATATATATATATATA